AAAGTCAGAGAAATTTTAAGTTAAGGTGTTAGTCAACCAACCAAAGTTTATCCCTGAATCTAGAACTTTCTTAAGCTCTTTTTCTAGTATTTTCACTCATCTTTCCTGTCACAAATGCCTAGTTTCCACGATAAATTTTGCTGGACGATAAATTGTCTCAGACCTTATTGCGATTAAACAATAACACAGTTTTGAGACCATTTTCATGCTATATAATTGTAATCATAGTCTAAAATGCAAGAACACATTCTCAGTGATCAATAAGCTTTAAATTTTAATGAACACTTAAATACTGAAACTGGAAGATATTTGAAATATTCAAAATACACAAAGAAAACAACAGAAACAACAAATAACATAAATTATGAAGTTTCTCTCTAAACAAGATGATCTTTTTATTTTTTTTTCAAAGGGATAGTTGAGACCAAAACACCATAAAGTCTTATCACTCAGTTTTTGGTGAAAAGAGAGGAAGAAAAAGAGAAAAACGATGAATCAGGCAAATGAACATTATTGAGTTTCTTTTAGTTTATCATGAGATGAATTGACTCATTGTTTATTGTGACAGGCCTACCCACAAATGAGTTGTTTTCCAGACAACAGCTCTGGAGTAGAAGAGTAGTAGCTGTTGGAACATGGCACAAAAACCCACCTGTGGATAAATACACTCGGTGCCAATTGTTTCACTGGAAAAAAACAAAATAAGTTTAACACTCTCTCATTGTTTTCTGTCCCCTCCTTTTTCTTGCTATTTTTACTTGTGAGGCATAATGAAAAACCAGAAGAGACATAATCCACCACAAACAAAGACCTGCTAATTGGGGTGTTTTTTTTTCCCTCCCCTCCGCCTAAAACCTTGATATATATGAACGCGTAGCAGTGTTTGTGCGTGTGTCGACTCATTATCTCTGCCAGTTCTGTAGCACAGATCGCAGTTCTTTTTAATTAACCCATGGAGTGTATATTTATCTCGCGATCTCATGCCGCTGCGCCGTGCGCCCGTCAGACAGACAAAGGAGGCAAAATATCAAACTCGTCACGCGCGCGGAGAGACGGCAGCCATCACGACTTAGCTGCAGCGAGTGGAAATAGACGCCACTTACAAATATCCACTTTCACCTCTAATGAGCAGATTTGTGTTTAGCGACTCATCTGAGTCACGCAGCTGTCGGATTACAAACAGCCAGCAAAAAAAAAAAAAAAAAAAAAATTAGCCACCGTGTGGAGGCCTGCAGTCAAGCTGTGGCATTCCTGCTGTTATTCATTAAATATTTACATAACTCAGCTGGTTTAACCTTTACTCTGAAATAATAATAATCTTCAACATTTAGACACCTCGACATATTTGTCGAGGTGTTTTAAGCCAAAACCTTAATCTTGGATTAGTTTGTTTTCAAATTTGTGGAAAAAAGATGCATGTTTTTTTAAAGTTAGTAAGGAAATTAATACAATTGTAGATCATATAATCTTATTTTATTATTATTCAGGGCCTGACGACTAGTTGCAGATTAAAAAAAAAAGAAAGCATTCGATGTAGTTAGACTAGTCCTTGTTTGAGTAGTTAGTTTTCTGTGCTAGAAAACTTTTGCATTTTCTTGCTCCCTGAACCTGTTTCATCACTTTTTCTGAATATTATAATAAAAGACGTTTTTTACTAGGAAAAATGACTTTATAAATGATTATAATTAAGAGAGTAATTACTGGCAGCTGCTTATCATTTACTATGGTAACGTAGAAGAGGTGTTAATCTTATCCAGCTTGTGGACAAAATATGAAAAAAGCTCATCTTGTGATAAACCAATCAGCTTTGTAGACACTTTCTGATCTTTGAACTGCATTTGCCTCTTAACCATCATCATTAACAGCATTCACCTTTACTTTTACAGCCATACCGTTGAGAGATTGTATCTGACGGGGAGGAGTTTGTAAAGCAAAGAAAAATAAGTCCTTAGTGGACATTTTAAAGCTGACATTAAAGTCTGACAATAGCATTATCAGTGTAGTTAAAAATCAGAACTTGAATAGGGATCTGTTCGATGTGTATCTACTAACAAATGTACACTCTTACTGAAGCTGTGATATTTCCAAAAGACTGCAGACATTTTTGAATCCCGCAGACTTCCTAAGAGTCAGAAACTGAAATTGGAAAAATGAGCAACTATTCTGTAATATATTTGTTCCCTGTTAAATGTGACAACTTGAATAAACATGACATGCCTCTGTAGAAAACAGTTTCCTTCTAAGTAGCTGTGTACGCTGTTTGTGCTTCCTGTGACTTCACTTTAAGCACCTCACTGGACTTATTTTGAGTCCTTTGTCATGGTGTTGCATTTAGTGTGTTCATGGACTGGGGGGATTCAAAACTAAATTTAGAATTTTGAGTTTAGGAAATACTACTCTAAGATGTAGAAATGTTATTTTGCCATTTATTTGCCTTCAAAACAGCATTTCCAATTAGTGGAATATATTTATTTTGTAAGAAACAAAACAAACAAAAAAGAAAAAACAAAGTCTCAATCTTTAGCTTTAACTAATTTTCCATCGCCGCTATAGCTTAAGCTCTGCAACGCAAAGGTAACAATCCTGAAATGCCACAGGAAAAAATGATCTTTTCTGGTTTGTATTTTATATATCAATCAAACACTTTTCACTTTGACTGTCTTTAGTTCTTCAACATGAGTCTGCAATCACTCATCTTGCCACATCCTTTCCTCGACTTTTCTTAATCTTGCTATACAAGAAGTCATAGCGGGTAGCCAATAATGGAGAGTAAGAGCCCAACACACGAACTGGGGGGAAATCTTCTTCTCATCAGGCTCAGAGCTTTAACACTTCCCAAGGTCATTTCGGCGCTCCCTGCAGAGAGGCTCTGTCACTTTTAATAACTTTTAAAGGAAGCATATTTTCTCTCCTTCGACAGATTGAGGAGTAGAGGGACCAGTCATGGACTGACTCAATCACAAAGCGTCAACAGAGCGAGGACGTGTGAAGGGAGGAGACCAGCCTGGGATCGCTAACACTTTACACCGTTACTGCATGAAATGTATCTCCACATGGACACAGAAGTGGGAAGTCTGTCGGTCACTGGCTGTTTCAAGTTGATCAGTGATCTGACATTGCAACCAGATCTAGCAACTGTAAGTCACTCACTGTCAAAATATCTCAATGTGCTTCTCATGTCATGAGCCCGTTGAAATTTAGACTGACATTAGGCACACAAATATGAAAAATATATCATTAAAGGGGTGGTATTATGTGTTTCCCAGCCACAGAGTGCCATTTCATAGCACGGCCAGTTTAGAGACTCTTGTAAATATCAAATATGACTCAAAAGAAATTTGACTTTGAAATTGGGCCTCTGCCTCTTTAAAGAACTCTGACTCTTCTGACAAGTCATCACAACATGGCTCCTCTATTAACCTTTTAACAAAGTTTTTGCCAGCGTTGCACTGAGAAGCACCTCATTTCAATGAGCTCTGTAGATTTGCAGTTCCACCAGATGTTTGCTAATTCCTACTGACTAGTCTGAAGGAGCTGAGTGGGGAAGTCTACCCGGAGCGTTTGCACCGGGAGATTCAAGGATTTTTCAAACAAGCATGAAAGAACACAGGCAAGTTTTTGATGAGGGAAGAAAGTTATAACGTGGCATAGAGCTCAAAAAGTCACATTTAACATAAAACAGTCCTTCAGATTAAATTTGTTTTCATTTTTTAATGTATCATTTTTTATTTTTTTGGTAGATAATGTCTACAGTATGAGAACAGAGAGGGTTATTAATATTTCTCACAGTTTGAAATACAAAAACAATAACCGGATTTATTAACTTAAAGACATAAAAGAAGTAAACAACACCAAAGCCGTGTGCTGTTTTCAAAAAGCATTTGCATCTTCCTTATCTGCAAATGTAAAAGCGGGTCTGGTTGCTGTGTGTCTGCGGTTTGTGTCTACAACGAGGGAATGATGCCATATTCCTCCTGTTGCATAGCAAAAGCCACAGCAACCACACATGTAGTTCAGGCAGCAAATTGGATAGGAGACCGCAATTATAAAAAGACATGAGGGCAAAGGTCAGACAACTGCTGGCATGTTTACAATCCTACAGGAAACTTTCGGATATGAAGCAGGCCAGAAATTTCATCGCAATCAGGGATTATGCAGATTTACCTTTTTGTCCATTTCAGAATTGATGACCAGACAAGAAAATAATTATAAAGCATGACAAAATTATTGCTTCTCTTTATCAAAACCGTTGCAATATGCAACACTTTATATATTTTTGACATTGAGCTCTAATTCGTATGTGCATGATTTTGTGAAATGTCCACTGGATGATTTACCAGTGGTCAGAGTAACTCTTGTGTTTCACAGATAAGAATGCAGATTTCCCTTTCCCGTCAGCGGATCAGATGTAAAAATGTAGCGTCAAAGCATTACCCGCTGTCAGAGTTATTGTTCTTCTGAGAAACATAAAAGGAGCTAAGTAAAAGTTTGAAGTTCTTCACAGGACTGCAGAGGTCAAAATGGTGCATGACTGAGTTTAATTAGCTGATTCCAGACCCAAAAGTCACTTCATAGCCAAGGATTAGTGACTTGAATTTAAAACTTGATTTTGGCAGCAACCGGCAACCCTTGAAGGTCATTCAGCTGTTTCAGCGTTAATTACCCGGCAGCGCCTTTTACCTTACCCGACCGACAACAGCCCGGTTCAGATCTACGCTTTGTAATTCAAGTTTTTTTTTTCTTAGAAAAATGAATCAACTCTATATCAGATGGTATTTGTTCAAGGTCTTTCTGTTGTACCCCTCAGCCTTGAAATATCACTACGCTAATAACAATTTATAGTAATCAGCCACTGCGCAAACTGACTCAAATAATGAGTTTTAACATGGAGGAGAAGCACTTAGTCTAGATTTCATTTTAAAATATTACTTTGACTTATTTGCTTTGTTTATATTTGAATACTGGACTGTAAGCTTTTGCTGCTGGTATTAGCATCATACCTGTTCCTGCTGGTCAAGCCACTGGTCAACCATAGGATGGTTGGCACTAAGGGAAGAACGAAGCATGTCTCTGTGAAACTGAGCAGTCCAGGCGCTCGCATCACGAGGAAGACTCCGATAGGCTTGGGCTCCCCTGCCCTGCCAAACAACAAAAAAAACGTAGAGTTATCGATGTGTTGGTATAAATACCTTGAATAAAAATACAGCAGAGGAGACGCTGCTACAGCAATCACTGGTTGATTTTCTCTCTCACTTTTTCTGACTTTTGCAGATTGGGTAAGTTCACCCTCAACTTTTTTCTCTTTTCAAAAGGAGTTTTCCTCTACAGGACAAAACATATCCTTCTTCAGATGTCAAGAAAGGCTCAAAGTTCCAGTGTTTTTGCAAATAGCTCAACTCCATAGATCACAGGTCTTGGAAGCTCCTTAGTGCTTTCTTGTTGTTTTTTTATACTGTGCCTCAAATAGCCCAGTTTGTTCATTCAAGTCCCATTCAGACCCGTCCTCTTTTCCCTTGACCTTTACTCACGGCTTTAGGGACTTTTTAATAGGAGTGCCAAATCTAAGCCTCTCCACTACACACAAAAATAGAATGTTCCAAATCTCTCCTGCCAAGGTAACATTAAACATCAGCAGACCTGAAAAGGATTACGTCCCAAAAATATTCCAGACATGCAAGCGTTGCATTTGAATCTCAACAACTGAAGGTTGTAGATAAAAACTACCAGCGGGCAGGAGGGGGAAAAGCAATTAAATATCAAAACCCAAAGTGGAGTGAGTTAGTATAAAAGACATCAATTTAAGATTTGATGATTAAAAAACTGACAAATTGTGGATCAAGAGGTTTAGCTACGTGCACCATGTTAGGAATATATAGCAAAAACAAAGCCGTATAACAAAATCGAACAAACTACGCACGAATCTCATCGTAAAACATGAGAAGGGAGGAAACGTGAAAGATGAGGAGGCATAAAGACGGCAAGTTATGCTGAGCACATCACTAAATGACAGCTAACAATTGTAAATAAAGAAGTCAGACTCCTGATCCTTCCATGCTGTGATAAAAACACGTGTTTTCGGCACAGCTCAATGTGCCGTGAAGGAGCCTGAGGAAGCGATGCAGACAGGACCATAAAACTCAACTGAACATGTGGAGCCTGATAGGGAGACGGCCTTAATAACCATCACGGTCTTTAGTCGCAGAGGAACAACCGACTCCTGTCCACAAACTTTTACAACGTAAAGGGAAAAAGGGCAGCGGACCCCCAATACATGCTTATTCTGGTGTGTTCGCTGCGAAGAAGAATTGTAAAGTGTAGTGAAGTCATTGAGGTGTGATGACTTTACACATCCAGCTGTTGACCGAGAACTTCCGTTTGATTCGATAAACTTAACTCAACTGGATCTGGGATATGAATATTTGGCATTTTGTGAAACAGAAATTATTCCATACAGTTCAAAAACTTGGTTTTTATGTGTGAGGCATGAATCCAAACGTGTTTAGGCACTGAGAATCACTAACGGAGGTCATTTTTTAAATTCTTTTAGCACAGCAATGGTACTGTAGGCTATACAGGTAACATTTGATGTATGATTTTTTTTTTTAAAAAGATAATATTTAAATCTACCTTTATAGTAAAGGCAATTCACGAATAAGTAGAATCCCTAAATGCTTTTAAAAATGCATATAACTGCATACTTTAATCGTTCAAACACCAAATATGCCATAATGTATTTGGCATATTCAATAATAGGGTGGAAACTTGGGCCTAAAGTAGAAGCAAACATCTATGGTCTTGTGGGTCCAGCCGATCAGCGCCAAAGAAAGCAATTCCCAGTTCTGGATTGGCTGCTTTGCGAAACCCAGCCAGTAAAATATCAAGTAGCATTGCTCCTAGGAGTTTTCAGCCAGTCAAGCTGCATATTATTTCCAATATTTTTGATATGTTATATGAAACAAATCTGAAAATGTATTAATAAATCCGAAAATAGTCCACTGTACGTCATTAATTTGTTAAGCCAACAAGGTTTTCCAGTCAACTAAAGTATTTGTTCACTCAACCTATTGTCTTGTATGTTCATTATATAAATACACTGTTGCTTACATTGCAAAGCAAAATTATAAGCAATCTGTTACACAGTTGCTGCACTCATAATACATACCTCAAATCGCATTTCCAAAGTCTTGATTTTATCTCCGTGTCTAACGTGTTTTTCTCTGTCTGGAGCTGCTTTCAGGACTCTCTGTATGTAATGTACCTGCTGTACTACAAAACCTTCAGCCACCCCAAAGTTTTTCACTTTGCAATTTTAAATGCTGCCACCTGGATCTTTATGTGTTGAGAAGAAGAAGAAGAAGAAGAAGAAAGACAGGGGGAAAAAAAAGAGTGAGAAGCATTTTCCGGTTCGGATCCATGGCTGTACACTCTGTCAGATTTATGGGACAAATGGAAAGTAGTAAAATGATGTTCAGTACAGGAAGCTGAACACAGAATACCGACCAGAGACAATGCTGCTCCAACTAGAAATAACAAGAACCAACTTTCCAAAGTTGAGTTACGCTAGTCACGCTTAACTATTTGTCTATAAAAACGGAGCTGAAAGGAGATTCTGGACCGTTTTTTCACCGCTAGTCTGCAATGGTGAACAAACCCCTGATCAAACGCTGCAGACGTCCCAGGACTGCAACTGAAGATGTGACCCCTCCAGGCTGTTTGCTAAGGGGCCCAGGCTGGCTGACCAGGAAACCAAACTGCTAGCCCAGCAGCTAAAGACTCTCGACAATACACTGCAAGCTGGTTGCTCACTGTTCCTCCACCTGGGCAGTAATAATATCTTAGGATGAACATTTTAAGTGTTTTGTGTCATTTTAATGCCTTTACAACTGTGTCCAAACGGAGCAGGAGCACATGCTATGGCCAAAGCTAACCGCAGAGTTTGGCTTGTTTAAACATCTTCCAGGAAATGTTTAAGGTTTATCTGATCTTTTATGGGGTTTTTTTCCCTTTACTTCATGCCAGGAAGTTGCATAAAAAGAAGCCCCAGAAAGCTAAATGCAGCTACGACCTACATATAGCTTTCCCAATGGACAGCTGGCGCTAATAAATGGTTAATATGGTTACTGACCATGACACCAATAATACTAAGAAACTCACCATTTTGATGGCAACTATTTTGCCCACATAGCAGAAGGGAATCAGTGTTGGTTCACAAGTCATTTGAATGACATTTAAGCATTTCTATTTCCTAAACCGCAATATTTAAACTGGTTAAACCAGAACTGTGCAGTCAAAAGTTTATTAAATTTTTTGTTGTTTTGCCGTCGATTGAGACAAGTCAATATCTTACCATCTTGTTATTGTTACCATGATCTCATTACATGTTGGGTCCAGAATGAGGGGCTTGTCTGGAGCAGAATTTATGTAAGACCTCTTCACAGGAGTGTTACCTTTAAAGGCACATTACACAAATCGCATGTGTGGAGCCTCTGGCTTTTGATTTTCACTTTGCATACAAGCTCCTTGCTGTAACAACTGCTCTGACAGTTTGAATGAAAGACCTGATACTCATGTCATCCCAGATATTGTTCCACTTTCTGATAGCGACAGTGATATCTGACAATGAAAATGCCTTTGAATAGTATTAGAACCTGCTTCAAGACACGCTGATCACTTATGAAGTAGCTTTTTCTCAATTCCCAAGTTCTCATTTATCTCCTTTTTGATTGCTAAAATATCTCATTCTCCATCAGAAGTAAAAGGTCTGCCAGGACCTTGGAGAGAAAACCATTTCAAGACGTTAATTAGCTTCATATCCCCTTTGGATGCCACACACAGGCGATATCTGGGCTTTTTTTCCCCCACCTTAGGTTTATTATCAGTCTGAAAAAGCAGCAAAAAGGTGAAAAAAAAAGGTAATGTGTTTAACAAATCCTGCCTTTTTATGGATAAAAGAGGTGCCATCAGAAGAAGCTCGTCTCAGACAAGGACTGTCTGCTACTGCTGGCAGTGTTTCAGTTTCTAACCGTTGTTCCTTTGATTTAGGGCGGCAGAAGAGAAAAGGGTGGAAATGAGAGAGACTGTGGGGAGACAGGAGAGTTCTGTGAACTTAACTAGCATCACACATGTCTAATTGAAACCACTTCAGAACATCTGGTGAACTGCGGTTAATAAGGTAGTACAAAAATGTAAAACTGAATCAATGCGAACTAATAGGTGTCTATTATAAAGCACAGATACAAAGTCTACGTCTTCATACACAGCTACGTTTGACGGTGTTCGTCTCGGTTTAGCAGTCAATGCCAAACACAACACTGTTACCTGTTGATCCAAGGTGCTTGAGGCGCCCCGAGGGTTTGGCTTGTTGTTGTACTTCTGTAAACCAGCAGTTGTGGACCAGCGAGTCGGGTTCTGTCTTGACGGTTCGTCTTGACCAACCAGAGCCTCACCCTTAGGCAGGTCAGCCAATGAGGGATCGCTGCCTCGACGGACATTCAGCGACATGCCTGGAGCAGGGAAGGCAGAGGGAGAAGAAATCAAAATATGAAACGACTAAAATCAGGATCATCCTATATTTAGCTCCATCCACATCTTCCTTCGACAGTGACCAATATCTCTGTCCCTGCTTAAGAAAAGCATCCCAACATCAAGATTACCCTTTCATGTTTTTACTGTGTCTCCTAGATGACTTGTGACAATTTTTAAACTGTTTACTCTTCTTTCAGCAGTGGTTGTGTTTGTCACTCTGCTTTGAAGCCCAGGTTGGTTAAGGTTATCCCGTCAAAGGGATTTTCCTCCATAGCTGTAGATCTCTGCTCATTATCCATGGCTTGCTTGATTTGCAGTCACGTCATCTTTTACTTGGTCTCCATGATGCTGTTTGCTCCCCAATGTTCTCCAACAAGCCACAGTCCAATTAAGACATTCAAAAACTACTGATATTTGACTTCAAGGTCCTAATTTCTCAGCAAACAGGAGGCAAATCAGATTAAAAGAAGGTCTCGTGCAGCAAACATTAATAATGTAAAGAAAACTGCAGACAGGAAACTGTTTACAGCTGCATCACTTCCTACAGATTACTGACATTTGCTTCAATGCGCCTGAACAACGGATATGGAAATGTTTCAGGTTTCACATGAAATAAAAAACTTATGGAGGACCATGATATCCACATGCTGTGCTATTAAAATACTTATGCATCAAGAAAACAAAAGTATATGGTTTGTAAATAGAGTACAATTTTGTTTGCTCCTTATTTAATGTAAACGTTGTTTACAATGTTCTATCTAGTAGCATGTAGCAGTCATTTCATGAAATGGTTTCTGAAGCTGATGTTATTTTGAAGAACGTTTACGTCCCAACTTCAATGAGTAATTTCTTTCATTCAGCAACTCAGTCATCTTTGCAGCACATCTGTCAAGCTATCCTTGATGATATACTTTTGGTAAACATCTGTTTTATTTCTTATTTCACTGTAATTTACTGTACAGCCTTTATCAGTTCTTTGTTGACTCTGAGTCAGCAGCTCCAACTCTTTGTTGTTAGGGTTTCTAATTTAAACAATAAAGCATTTTCCATGTCATTCCTTGTTTTTCAGTGGTTTTATTTAACTTTGTCAAAAAAAAGCCTTTTGTTTACCTAGAAACTATTATTGCTGTACTTAAATTACCTTTTATAAAGTTTGTAATTCATCATAGTTATGTTGTAGGCACATTTTTACGGCATCTGGAAACATCTCGACTCTTTCTTAGCAGCCAGATGAATGTCGTTTCCAAAGAGATTTTCTCTCTCGCTCTCTTTTTTGTGTGTCTCTAAGAAATCAATACTTCATTAGCTTGCATGTCGAGGCAAGGTAGCTGGCAGAGGACTTCCCACAAATGTCTAATCTCTGTCATTATCGAAGTATTTCTCCGCGTAAAACCGTGCCACGCGAATCCAAGCGCCGGGTTTTAACGAGTGCTTTTCTTGGTTGCGAATGTGTTTCATTTATTTTATATGATGACCACAAGGGTCTCGAAATACCTTCAGAAATCAGATGAAGAAACCTCAAAAGAAGTCAGCCAGCAGGCAAGTCACTGTGAGCTTACTATCCAGTTTAGGTTGCAGATCTAATACCAGGAAACAAATCTTTTCCCTTTTCAGTAATGGCTGGTTTATGTTAAGACCAGGACTCTCAGCAGGCATGCTTAGTGAATACAAGCGCTGAAACAATGTTAATGTGTTAAAAGCAGGAAAAAAAGAGTTAGCACACGGATTTTAGCATGTTCCATATTGTGATGCCATCACATCTCCAATATTGCAATTTTTATGGGGTGTTCTTAGTCTGGACTGGTTTGTGTTATCGACAACAGTCCGAGCAGGGAACAATGGGGAAACTACGACATTGTCGTTGATGTGTGGGAAAGCTCCGACAAAGGAACTAGCTTACGTCATTTCGCCAAAGAACTTGATTCTGATAGCTTGGTGTAAAAGTGCAGAGTGAAGCCGCACAGCTGCAGGCCAGCTGATAGACTGAGATTAGCGCAGGCCCATCAGATAAAAGCGCAGTTGAACCAGAGTGATGACAAAAAAGTGGCCTGATCAGCGACATCACTTCTTTTTTTTTTTTTTTTTTTTTTTTACATCACAGGGTGGTTATCTGAGGAACACATGGCATCAAGATGCACTGTGGGAAGGAGGCAAAATACTGAAGCCCGTATGATGCTCTGTATCTTGCCATCTGAGTGGATGTTACTTTTACACATAGCGCCTTTAAAGTATTGCAACTTATTGTCTCTCAACAAGGAGACAGTCTTCCCTAAACCAAGGGCCGGCAACTAAAAATGTTGGACCCAAAAAAACAAAAAACAAATCTGTCTGGAGCCGCAAAAAATTAAAAGCCTTGTAAAAGGCTTATCATGAAGGCAAAACAGGCCTTAAGAGTTGATATTAGCCTATTATCAAAATGACTAAGTGTATACATAATTAGCATTCATGATTAAATGTTTATCGTAAAATATAGCAGCATCGTCTTCTCTTTTGATCATCCTTGGTCCTGAGCAAACTGACCCTCCTTAAACCTCAGTGGGTCAGTGTGCACATGGGGATTTCCACATCCGTGTTTGGCAGCCAGACACGGATGTGTTCATAATGCCATGCCTCATTTGTGTTCTTACAAAAGGTTACTGACTTGCTATAGATGAAAAACAATGTATTTCCCAGAACACATCAGAGCTCAGGTGTAACTAGAAGCTTTTTAAAATTATTTAGTTTAACCAAGTCCATCTTACTTTACTTAAAGTCAATGCCTCTAGAGGAAAGCGGGCTTATTGTGTGCAAATCATACTCTAAATATGATGATGCTTGTGATCTTTTGTTTCTTAGGTTACTTTTATTGATGGCATTTCTCATGGTGTTCCATGACATGGACATGCATTACCTTAAAATCTAGAGTTTCAGACTTTTCTGTTCTAATATTTAGTCATTTGTTTTTGTTATTTATAGCTATAAGAAACCTTGCAAAAATCTCTGGAGACCTAGTTATGTGCTCCATAAACGTTGACAGAATTTCCATTTATGAAATCTTCCTCTTTAATAAAATTCTGGCACAGTTCTATAGCAGCTTTTTACCCATGATAAATAAAGGAATGTATTAAGATTTTTTTTTCATGTGTTGACTGTAAAGGAGGTCACCACATGAAGACTTCTCTCTCACTTTATCAAACCAATTTTCCTCTTTTTAATTTGTGATGGGATTATCCGTGCAGTCCAAAGGGTTTGGCTGGTCCCACGTTTAATATCCAGCACCGCCACTTCAGAGCGGGCCGGCGATCGATCCAGACTGAAGACGGAGTGAGACAGTTGGGGTGGATGGCTAATAAAACGAGGCCCTAATCCAGCCCCTGTGGTGAGGGATTATGGTGGGGCCACAGGGTCATGGACATGTACACAAACTAAAATTTAGTAAAGAGAGGTCGGATTCTCCGAGGACTATTACCTCGCATTGCTTTGTCCTTTATTTAACTTTTACACTGGCTGTCCTCAGAGGTGAAATTTCCTCATAGGAATCACCATGGGATAAAAGCACTGCTATATATAAATATGTATATAGATATATAACAAACAACAGTCATAAAGCAGCAGGTTGTATATAAATATCCAATAACTGACTTGCTAATTATTTCACAGCTAAAATCACCATGAAATAGCACAACAGAAGCAATCTTATGGTGACTTGGGATGCATTCACACCAGCCCTGGTTAGTCTGTTTTAATTAAATTTTAGTTTGCTTGCCTAGAAAGCCTGGCTTGTTTGTGGAGGTGCAATGGGGACCAGAAAAGCCAACTCTGGTCCGCCTAAAAACCTAGCTCTTAGTTCCGTGAAAGTGAAATCCGGTGCGGTTCAAATACATTTATGAAAGTGTAAGTGGACAGGAAAGCGCTCCAAAAGCAGGAAGCAAACTGTGGCACAGGGCATTCTGGGTAAGTACAACCAAAACAAGCACTCGAGTCTAAGGCGGGCAGGAAAAACGGTGAGTTGGTCTTATATCAAAGACGAGAGAAAAAATCTGATGCCACTCCATTTTGTTATCTTGTGAAGACGGACATTGTGCTCATTTCTTCTTCAGAGGTTTTTATATTGTTCCCTTCAGTAGTTCTTGTTGCAGTGCCGTCACAGGCAAGGAGGCAAATGGGTTTTTCAATAGTTTGGATTGTTTAACAGTGCAGTGGGGAAGAAAACCACACCAACTGAAAATTTTGTTGGTCAACGGAACCGAGTCTACTGGACTGTCAGAGGTGAAAACACGCTGACAACATCAGAAACCTTATTTTAATATTTCCAGGATGGATGCAATTTTTAGACAACATGATGGAAAAATATTCTATTTCATATTTTTCTGTACTTTTACAAACTGAGAAAAACCATGGGTTAGGTAATTAATGCAGTCAGATCCAAACTAACCTAAAAAGTTTCCTCATGCTAAACATTAAGGCATCACTGACCAAACACACATAAAGACTATCTGTGGATTTTTTTTTCTTGTGGCCCCGGAGCCCTTGTATATTTTGGGCTTTTGCTTTCACATCAGCCTGATTTAAATATGAATGCCAAGTGGCCATGGCTTCATGAAATCTCCAAAAGCTTCTTTTTTTTTTCCCAGGCAACTTTGAACCTCTCAAGCATGGACAAATTCAGTATCTGAATAAATTATGGTTCTGAGCAATTTTAGCTCTCTCTTTAACCACCGACTACATATTGATGTCCTCTGTGCACATGGGGATTTCCATAGCATACATCCAGAGCAGGACAAAAAATTTCATTTTTGGATGAGAACGTTGGCGTACTGGGGCGGTGGGAACCTCAAGTGCTGGAGATGGAGATGAAATATGAGGAAGTTTGAAAAAGGAGAGCTAGACATCTAATAATCTGAAAATAGCAACAACAAAAAAAGTTCTACTTCTCTAGAATTGTAGAAGTGTAATCTGATGAAACATCATAAAGTGAAACCACAAAACTACCTCTGGA